CCGGCTTTTTTCTTTTTGCTTATGTGGTGCTGAGGAATTGAACCCAGGGCCTCAGGCATGCAAGGCAAGCGCTCTACCACTGAGCCAACTTCCCAGCCCTGTGTTGAGATCTTTTTGCCCCAGCGAACCTTGGAACTGGATCCTCCTGATCACCGCCTCCGGAGTAGATGGGATTACAGGCATCCATAGCCTGGCTCCTGCTGAGACCTCACACAGGTCCCTGGCGTTCAGGGTGATCCTGCCTCCACAGTGTGTACTCTCTCCCTATCGTGCCGCACCCACCTTACACACAGAGAGAAACCACATCTGGGTAGAGTTCCAAAGAAACCAGCATTTTTTATTAGTGTTTGTCAAAATCCTAGCCATTTCAAATTTCTTGGTCTCACTTCTTGTGGGGGCAGGCAGCCCAGGCCAGGAAGTATAGGCTGTAGGCAGTGCCTAGGAAGGAAGGGGAAGTGAGGGATCCTCAATGAGACCCTAATCCCACCTTTAAACTCCATCTGAGTGTGTATGGCCCTCTGTAGGTTCTCTAGCCATCAGTTGAGTTCCCAGCTCCCTCCCAACTGGACTCCTGATGGGGACCCCCTGGTGTTGGTCAGGCCAGAGTAGCTTTGTCCTCACTCAACTCCTACCAAAGTCCCAGGCCCACCATAACTAGCTCAGTTTCTCCTAGGAACATAAGCCCAAGTCCTCAAGAGAGTCCCAGCTCCAGTCCCCAGTGCGGTCAGCTCAAGACTCACCGCCTCTTTAAATAATAAGCCCAGCCAGTCCCCCCTGGTCCCCATCCCAAGTAACTCAGGCCAAGGGTGAGAAGTCCCCACACTTACCCCCCATAGTCAGTACCATAGTCACCAAATACAGGATGTTGTCGTTTCTTCCACCTTTCAAATAAACTGGGAGGCCATTGTCCTCCTAGGTGTGGGATGAAAAGGGGCTCAGGTCTCTCAGGGCTTCACTCGTCCTTCCCACCACCTGGGTCCCCCAACACACAGCCACACCCCCAACCCGTGGCCACGCCCCCAAACTACACCCACGCCCGTCCCCTCCACTCCCAGCCACCAAAGCCACACCCACCACCAAGCCACACCCACCACCAAGCCACACCCACCACGAGTCCCGCCCACTGCGCAGCCACCTGGAAAATCTTCTGTTTCTCAGGCACCCGGTTCTCCACACGGTTCCGCTGCGCCGTCGAACAGAAGGAGCGGATCAGCGCCTGGGAGACCTGCGGGGTAGGAAGTGGCTGGGTAGGAGGCAGCTGCTCCCGCGTGGGTCCGGCCGGGGCCGCCTTCCGAGGCCGGGACGTGGGGCCAGCGTCTCCTGGCGGCCCAGCGCCAGCCGCCGGTGGGGTGCGCGCCCAGAGGTCGGGCTCTGAGGTTGGGGAGCTGTGTAGGGTCCTGGTAGGAAAGGACCCAGAAGAGAGACTGATGCTCCTGGAGTCCAGGTCCTGGGTGGCGTGGGGGCAGCGGGAGGAAGGATGAGGGGAGGAGTTCAACCCCCAGGCCCTGGGACACACGCGGCAGAGCGTCTCGGGTTCCACAGCTGGGATGTTTTTGGGGTCTCATTAGGGTGAGGCGTCTGGGTTTGGGGGGAGGGGGTCCCCAGTCAACCTGTCGATTGAAGCCTCACCCGCAGAGCCCTCATTCTGAGTCCTCAGCGACTGAAGTCACCACCAGAGACACAGCACCCCACCTCTCCTGCCGGTCCACCAGACTTGACAGTTGGGGCGCCTTGATCTCTGTTGGGTTGGGTGGAGAGCGCCCGCAAATCGAATCAGTCCAGTGGGCGCGTGGCCAAGGTGCTGCTGCCAGGTCCCGCGCGCAGGTGCAGAGGCCACAGCGCCGCCACCTGTTCCTCCCCTGGGAGGCAGAAAGGTGAGCCGTGCGTTCCCTATCAGGGGAGGCAGTCTGGGGCCAGTGCAGAATGAGGGAAACCAGAACTTGTACTCCTTGTTCTAGCTACACAGAGAGTGGGCTTCACCTTTGAACCTTAGCTTCTGTATTTGTAAGGTGAAGGTCAAAATCTGGATTATTTTTTCGCTTAATTTTCATTTTATCAAGGAGAAGTTCCAAGATAGACAAAAGCAACGAGAAAGGTCCAATGAATCCCTTTCTTTGACCCATCACCTACACCAACAATGATCAGCATTATAGTGTTTATCATTGACCATTTTCATTTATTCTACCTCCACTCAACAAACATTTATTTAGCTGGTGTTGGGGGCTTGAACTCAGGGCATCTAGCTCTAGCTTGGCTCTTGTGTGCCAGTACTAGGGCTTGAACTGTGGGAACTGTCCCTTAGCTTTTTTGCTCAAAGCTGGTGCTCTATCACTTGAGCCATAGCTCCACCTCTGGCTTTCTGGTGGTTCATAGGAGATAAAGAGTCTCATGGACTTTCCTGCCTAGGCTGGCATTGAACAGCAATCCTCAAGCTCTCTGCCTCCTCAGTTACTGGAGACTTTCTAACCAGTATGAATTCTGTAGTGGTCAATGAGCTGGGAGCCAAGAACGAAGGCCTGCCCACACTCTCTACATTCATAAGGTTTGATACCCGGGTGAATTCTCTGATGTTCAGTAAGTTGTGAACTACGAATAAAGGCCATGCCACATTCCCGGCAAGCATAGGGTTTCTCACAGGTATGTGTTCGCTGATGGTGAGTCAGTTGGGAAACACGAATAAATGCTTTCCCACATTCCTTACATTTGTAGGGTTTGTCACCAGTGTGAATTCGTTGATGCTGAATTAGGTATGAGCTGCGACTAAAGGCCTTCCCACAGTCCTTGCATTTGTGGGGTCGGTCACCAGTATGAACTCTCTGATGTCGAGAGCGCTGGGAAAGCTGTCGGAAGGCCTTCCCGCACTCCTGACATTCATAGGGCTTCTCCCCAGAATGGATCCGCTGATGGCGAGTGACTTCTGAGCTATGAAAAAAGCTCTTCCCGCATTCCTTACATTGGTAGGGCTTCTCTCCGGTGTGGATTCGCTGGTGCACACTGAGCTGTGAGTGCTGTCGAAAGGCTTTCCCACATTCTTTACACTGGTAGGGGCGTGCACCTGTATGGATTCTCTGATGGACGGTCAGCTGGGAGCTCTGGATGAAAGCCTTTCCACAGTCTTCACACACATAGGGCTTCTCACCCGTGTGTGTTCTCTGATGCAGCACCAGTTGGGAATGTTGCCGAAAGCTCTTCCCACATTCTTTGCATCCATAGGGTTTGACACCAGTATGAAGTCTCTGATGGAGACTAAGTTCTGAGCTCCGGCTGAAGGCCTTGCCACACTCCGTACAGCCATACGGTCTCTGGCCTGTGTGGATTCTCTGATGTTGAACAAGGTGTGAGGCACGACTGAAGGTCTTCCCACACTGTGGACACTCAAAGGGCTTTACACCAGTGTGAGTTTTCTGGTGCTGAGTAAGGTGTGAGCTGCGGCTAAATGCTTTCCCACATTCTGTGCATTTAATCACTTTCTTACAGGTCTCACTGGGCTGCTGTAGGGTGACAGTGGGGGGATGCTTGAAAGCAGGCACATTTTCATTCATGGGTTCCACTTGCTGCGAGCAGCATTGCTTTCTGACTTGCTGCACCTCCAATGGGCCTCTGCATTCCCAGCCTCCAAGGAAATGGTAGTCAAGGCTGTCTACTGCTCCCCAATTTAGTGACCCCATTTCCAACAGACCTTTGGCTGGAAATGTCTCACACCTGGGCTCCAAGTCTGAAAAATAAGAGAAGTAAATGCAATGTCTTTTCAATGAGACATAAAAAACAAAACAAAAAAAACTACAGTGCCAATGATGCTGGTGGCTCTGGCCATAATCCTATCAACTCAGGAGGCTGAGCTCTAAGGATAGAGGTTTCAGGCCAGCTTAGACAGACAAATCTGTGATTCTGTTATCTTCAATGAGTCAGTGAAAAGTGGGAAGTGGATCTGTGGCTCAAATGGTAAAGTGTCAGCCTAAGGTAAAAAGCCAAGGGACAATATCTAGGCTCTGAGTTCAAGCCCAAGTAATAGAATTTTAAAAAATTTGGTCTAAATACCGAATTACTTCCAGAAGGCCATGAAAGCACAAATGTGATAAGAGTTCATATTTTGCCAGAGGGATTAATTTGATATGGTTCAGAATCACCTAGGAAGCCAAGAAAACAGTATGAAATACCTGTTAATAGTACGATGTTCAGCCAGGTGCTGATAGCTCACACTTATAATCTTAGCTACTCAGGAGTCTGAGATCTGAGGATTGTGGTTCAAAGCCAGCCCAAGCAGGAAAGTCATTGAGACTCTTATCTCCAATTAACCAACAGAAAACAGAAAGTGGCACTGTGGCTCAAGTGGTAGAGCGCAAGCCTTGAGCTGAAGAGCTGAGGGACAGCGCTCAGGCCCAGAGTTCAAGCCCCATGATCAACCAAAAAAAAAAAAGTATAGATGTTCAAACATCACCCCGACTGAATAAAAGCATACAAGATCAGGACCATAATGTGTGTGTATAATCTATTTAATATATCCATCTATTTCCCTGTTTGTTTCTTTTTGCAAGTCCTGGAAATTGAACTCAGGGCTAGGCTCTATTCTTGAGCACGATAGGAAATGTACTCATTACTTTGCTCATGTAACTGTAACTCTTCTGTATTTTTACAATAAAAAATGTATTAAAAAAAAGCAACTGGGAAAGAAAAGGACACATTATCTCTTTGAGATAGAAAAGAGGGTATGAGCCGGACACTGGTGGCTCAGGCCTGTAATCCTAGCTACTCAGGAGGCTGAGATCTGAGGATGGCGGTTCAAAGCCAGCCCGGGCAGGAGAGACCGTGAGACTCCTATCTCCAATAAACCACCAGAAAACCGGAAGTGGCGCTGTAGCTCAAGTGGTAGAGCGCTCGCCCTGAGCTGAAGAGCTGAGGGACAGCGCCCAGGCCCAGAGTTCAAGCCCCACAACCGACAAAAAAAAAAAAAAAGAAAAGAGGGTATGAGAACTGGGCCCTGGTGGCTCACCCCTGTAATCCTAGCTACTCAGGAAGCTGAGATCTGAAGATAACAGTTCAATGCCAGCCTGGGAAGAAAAGTTCCCATGAGATTCTTATCTCCAATTAACCATCAGAAAACGGGAAGTAGAGCTGTGGTTCAAAGTGGTAGAGTGCTAGCCTTTAGCAAAAAAGCTCAGGGACACCATCCAGGCCCTGAGTTCAAGCCCCACAACCAACAACAACAACAAAAAAGAGAGTGTGAGAGAAGAAGGGTCAGGCAGGAACTTAGCAGAGGGCAAGTCTCCTTTGGGAGCTGATGCTGACAAGGTGTTTGCCGTTTATATATCTTCATTTCTTGGTCTTCATCCTACAGCAGGGCTTTGGGGGAGCTTCCTGGCAATAATTCAAGCTGTAGGTAACAGCTGACTCTTACAGGGCTATTAGCCACATTACCTGCTGTACCAATCAGTGCTCACTAACCTGGGTACCACAGTCTTTCCATATCATCTGCAATTATCCAGGGCTCTCTCCCTTGCTCCAATAAGAAGATGACATCAGGCTTAGAAATAGAAAGACCTGTTGAGGGAAAACAGAGGAGGACTGATCATACTTCCTAAATTCAAACCCACTTCCTTGGTCAGCAAGGAATCCAGGCAATTGTAAGAGAGGTGTGAAGGCTATCCAAAGGATGGGAATTGAATGACTCATTTCCAATTCCACAAAGCCCTGAACCATTTTCTTGGGGCCAGAGACCAGAAATTCAATCAGAAACTTGTGCCCTACAGATAGATAAATAGAAATTCCAGAGGGATATTCCTGAATTATTGGCAGTAGCTAACTAAGGTGATTTCATTCCATTTAACTCTCTCCTTCCCCTCCGATTCATTCCTTTATATTGGCCCTGCTCTGTGTCAGGATTATTATTATCCAGAGAGCCTATCTATGAGGGAATGTATTATTTCTGACCTGTGCTTTGGCATTGGGTTTTGGTTGATGAAAGCATGAGCAGAAGTCAGATGCTGGTGACTCACATCTGTAATTCTAGATACTTATAAGGCTGAGATCTAAGGCTCACAATTCCAAGCCAGTCCATGAAGGAAAGTCTGTGAGACTCTTATTTCCAACTAACTACTAATACAGCTAGAAGTGGAACTGTGGCTCAAGTTGTAGAGTGCTAGCCTTGAGCAAAGAAGCTCAAGGAAAAGCGCCAGGCCCTGAGTTCAAGCCCCAGGACTGGCACACACACACTAAAAGCACAATCAGATCAGTGGGTCAATTAGGAAGATGAATGTTGGGCTGTTTCTTACTGCCTTCTTCTTGTCCTCCCTCTCTTCCGCTTTCCCCTTTCCCTCCATTCCTTTCCTTTCCCCTGACTTGGGAAATCTAGAAGTAGCTATATAGTTGCTGCTGGCTGGGCTATTCTCTGTGGCTGTACTTTCCAACATCTCTAGTGTCACTGGTTCTTCTCTTTGCTCCCTTGGACCAGAGGTGGCAACAGCTGGCTCTCACTCACCTTGGGTGTTCCTTTTCTGTCTGTCCCTGTGTGATACAGGAGCCTTACCTACAGAGACCAAATGACTGAAGGTCTCCAAAGTCACATTCCTGTACAGGTTCCTCTGGGCCGGTTCTAGGTACTTCCATTCTTCCTGAGAAAACACTATGACCACATCCCTGAAGGTCACCAGTCCCTGAAACAATAAACCCACCCAGTACTAGTAAATTCCAAGACTTGTTTTTTCCACTTTTTCAATAGTCAAAGAATAGTATGATGATGCCCACAAATAATCATTGTTTTAGAATTATATCTACAAATTACTTTCTATCATTTTTACTTATTTACATAAACACATATATGTAGCTTTATACATGCTACATACAAGCAATCTACTACTGAGCTCTACCCCCTGGTCTTCTATCTTTTCTACTTGATGTATTTTGAGGCAATGTCACATAGTTTTTCTGTCAGTCCTGGGGCCTGAACTCTGGGCCTGGGCCCTATTCCTCAGCAATTCAGCTCAAGGCTAGCACTCTACCCTTGAGCCACAGCGCCAATCCCGGCTTTTTTTCCCCTGCTTATGTGGTGCTAAGGAATCGAACCCTGGGCCTCATGCATGCAAGGCAAGCACTCTACCATTGAGCCACTTTCCCGGCCCCTAGATTAAAAAAAAACAAAAACAAAAAAAGAAAAACACATAAGAACGTCATTACACTTAACAGTAATTCTCTCTTGCGGTTTGCTGTGGTTTGCTGGTGGTTAACTGGAGGTAAAAGTCTCAGTTTTTCCTGTCCAGGCCGACTGTGAACCATGATCCTCAGATCTTAGCCTCCTGAGTACCTCTTGATTCACAGCTCTAGGTCTGGTTTGTTTGTTTTTTCCTGGATAATTGGAGATAAGGGTGCCTTGGATTTGTTTGGGTTGGCTTTGAACCACAATCCTCAGATCTCAGCCTCCTGAGACTGCTAGAATTATAGGAATCATGTTGGGATTACAGGTGCGTGATACCATACCCAGACAGAACTGTGTACTTATATGGGTGAATTTTAGTATGTCAATTCTATATATAAAAATCTGAGGGCTGGGAAGGTGGCTCAGTGGTAGAGTGCTTGCCTTGCATGCATGAGGCCCTGGGTTTGATTCCTTAGCACCACATAAGCAGAAAAAGCTGGAAGTGGTGCTGTGGCTCAAGTGGTAGAGTGCTAGCCTTGAGCTGAAGAACTGAGGGACAGCACCCAGGCCCAAAGCCACCTTCCCAGAGTTCAGGCCCCATGACCGACAAAGAAAAAAAAATCTGTTTGGTAGAGCACTAAGGCTCTGGATTCTGTCCCAGCATTGGAGGGGAAAACAAAAAAAAAAATTAAAATTGAGGAAGCAGCCAATATATGCCTGTGATTCTAGCAATTCAGAGGCTAAGGTAGTCATACGTAGTAAAACTATATACATATAAAAGGACTGACAAGCATGATACTGAAAGTTTGGGGTTTTGTTTTTTCCTGTGTGCCAGTCCTGGGGCTTGAACTCAGGCACAGGCACTGACCTTGAGCTTTTTTACTCAAAGCTGGTGCCCTACCATTTGGACCACATCTCCACTTCTGGATTTTGGATGGTTCATTGGAGGTGAGTCTCACAGAGTTTTTTGCCTAGGCTGGCTTGGAACTAGGATCCTAATATCTCAGTCACCTGAATAGATAAGGTAACAGCTGTTGACCACCACGCTCTGCAGGAAATACTTCATATTTTAAGATGGGGAAACAATGAAGAAAGAAAGGAAGTTATCTAGGTCAATAGGAAAGATCAAACTACCTCATCCTTGGCCCCACTTGTGGTTATGATAAAGGAAGTGCTCCTGGTTCTTTCGAGTTCACTGCACCAGTGGCGCTCAGTGCGGGCACTCCTCATATAAGTGAGCAATGCTGGAGAAGAGTTTGCCATCAGGAAGCAGGGCCCTAGCACTTGTTCCCTAGGGTGGACAGACTGTATGGGCTGCAGAGATGTTTTAGGATAGGGATCACAGATGTTCCTATGATCTGGAGGGAAGGCACATCATCTTAAGGATAGTAGAAGGTACAACTTACCTGTAGGGCCATGGCTTCCAGAACAATCTAGCCTGCTAAGTCTGGATTACTTCTCTTTGCAAGTGCAGAGTCCTGGAGAAGCAAAGTAGGGGGAAAAGGAGGACATTTATGAGAAGCTGACTGTGCTTCAGCACTCACAAATCAATGCACTTAGAATAACTGGATTCTACTCTCCCTGCTCCACTTCCTTTGTTTTCCCCTTGTCCTACTACACAAACAAAATTATGAAAGGTTGAGAATGTGGCTTAGTGGTAGAGTGCTTGCTTAGCATGCATAAAGCCCTGAGTTGGATTCCTCAGTACTACATACACCGAAAAAGCCAGAAGTGGCACTGTGGTAGATAGCTAGCCTTGAGCAAAAAAGGCTTAATGACAGTGCCCAGGCCATAAGTTCAAGCCCCAGGATTGGCCAAAACAAAACAATTATGAACAACAGAGTTCAACCAGGTGTGGATGGCTCCAGCCTGTAATCATAGTTACTCAAGAGGATCCCAGTTCAAAGCCAGCTGGGGAAGCCAAATTGGAGAGACACATCTCCAATTAACCAGCAAAATTCTACAAGTGGAGGTGTGGCTTGTATAGTAAAATCCAATAAATCCAGCTGGTGAGAAACAGAGAAGCCACCTTTTTTAGAGATTGAATTGAGAGTCTTTATTAAAAGGTTGGTACTTGGTAGAGCGCTCGCCTTGAGCTGAAGAGCTGAGGGACAGCGCCCAGGCCCAGAGTTCAAGTCCCACGACCGACAAAAAAAAAAAAAAAGGTTGGTACCTGGGCTGGGAAGGTGGCTCAGTGGTAGAGTGATTGCCTTGTATGCATGAAGCCCTGGGTTCGATTCCTCAGCACCACATAAGCAGAAACAGATGGAAGTGGTGCTGTGGTCAAGTGGTAGAGTGCTAGCCTTGAGCTGAAGAGCTGAGGGACAGCGCCCAGGTCCAGAGTTCAGGCCCCAGGACCGGCAAAAGAAAAAAAGAAAAAGGTTGACTTCAGTACCCCAAACAGAGCTTACACAAAGTGGTTTTTTTGTTTCTTGGTAGGTTGTGAGGCCAAATTCTGGGCCCCACAAAAACAACAACAACAAAAAAAACACACCAAAAAAACTCCCACATACTTGGGGTCAAGGCACTTAAGCAGAACTTATATGAACATACTCAGGTATAAGCTCAGGTCCCAGGAGAACTTTTCCATCTAGGGAAGATAGGCTTCAACCTTCCTTATAGGACTATATTTAGAGGCTTCTCCAGAGGTGGGTGGTTTAAGCCATTTAGGGAGGTAATCAAGGCAGAATCAGCATTCTCCATGCAAAATTTTCCTAAGGCTATGTAACATCTGCATTTCTCAGAAGCAGAATTTGCCTAACTCACTTTGAGCTAGGCATCTGCACTCAATGAATGGCCTCTCTCACCCCTAGGCTTTTCAGTACTGGGTGGAGCTCCCTCTACCCAGCAAGAGGTACCAGACTCACTGTGAGAGGTTACTTAGACTCAGCCTCCTCACTTCGGGCTCAAGTGGCAAGAGTGCCATCCTTATTGAAAAAGCTAAGGGAGAGTGAGAGGCCCTGAGTTCAAGCCCCAGTAACCCCTTCCTCACAATGAAAAAGTTTCAAAAGCAAAGAAATGCATGCCCTGAAGTAAGAGTTTCAGAAAAAGAATAAAGCCTGATGCACTTTGAATTTGGCTTTTGGCTGTTGCAATTGCAATTCTTTCCTTTTGAACACTTTTTACTGGAAGGGTTAAGAGCACATAATCACCGCTGACCAGAAACCAGGGAATCCTAACCCTTTCCCCAGCCGAGTCACTGAACCAAATGTAAGGGTTGCTGGAAGGAAATTCGCACGAAGTTCAGGGGAAGAGGGTTTATTGAAAGAGAGAAAGACACCAAGCTGCTGCCACACAACATGGAGGCATGAAGGGCAAGAAAGCCTATGGCAGGAGGAGAAAGATTATATAGGGGAGGGCGAGTAAGGGGGTGTGGCCACAGCCGATGGGGAAGTAACCTCAGAGGATGGGGAAATCAAGAGTCTGGGAGACCTCCCCTTGCCACCAGGCATGCAGTTGCCTGGGTTACAGGTGCTGGCCAGGGACTTCTAGTGTGCACAGGGCTTTCCCTGTGCTCAAAGGGAAGGGGCCAGTTCTCATGGACAGACCGAACAATCTCTATAGCACATAGAAAGGTCAAAACTGTAAGGAAACGCCCCCCCCTCGCAGACGTAATCTCCGCCCTCTTGAGCAGTAGGCGAGGCACTACCCACTTCCGCGCCCCCCCCCCCATATAAAAGGGGTCTGCAACGCGCCAGTGGCACCATTTTCTCCCTTTCCTCAACTTGGCCTTGTCAGCTCTGCTTGCAATAAATCTTTCTCCTACTTGACTTTTGTGCATGGTCTTTTGGGTTACTTTCTTTGGGGTTACTTCCTACCGAAGTTTACATTTTCTCCTTCAAGAACAAGCTGCAATTTTAGGGACCACGTGAGTACACAACTGTCCAGAGACAGAAACGTTCTAACTTCACAGGTCCTATAGAGGTCAGCAAAATGAAGTCACTGGCACTCTCACACCAGCACTCCGGACACTGCACAAGGTGTCACATCACCCTAACAGAACCAAACATCCGCTCATGAGATGCCTGAGGATACAGCACCACAATCACAACCACACCGAGAGACACAATTACCTCATCACCATAACACAGGCTTTCCACACCGTTCCCAAATGCCCTGCACGGTCCCACTGTTACACTAGGGGCACACAGAACCACTTCATTAATTGAGGAGCATTCATTAGGCAGAGTGAAATAAGGATACAGAGTCTAAATAACATCACCTGGTCTTGATGGGCGGTGGGGGCTTTTCACCTAGGTCTAAGAGGTAAAATAGGCCATTCTTTGAATTGCAGGCCTATCACTCTGTTTAGCCCCTGGAAAGCTCGGCTCCAGAGAATATGCAGATGTGTCAAGCTGTTTAGCCCAAGGAAGTTTTGCTCCAGAGAATGCTTGATCCTGATGCTTTCCCCACACAGTTTGCTTTGTTTGGTATAACACTTTTGGTGAGCTTGGTTCCTCATCCCAATCATGTGGCTTTTTCCTTTAAGCTTTGTGCTACCTGCAAGTCTTTGGGACGGGAATCCACCTGCAGTCACTAGCTTTTGAATAAAGACTCCCAGTTGGACCTCTCAAAATGTGGCTTCTCTGTATTTCGCAATTGAATTACTGTATAACACAGACAAAAACATCTAACACTGGCAAAGTCCACACAACCATCATCCCAGAAACAAGGCGACCAGGCACACATACACAACGACACACGCAGTGCCACGCCCACAGCCCCAAGAAACAGACAAAACACAACATTACACGTGGTTACACAGAACCACACACACTCTGGAGACCGGTGATTTACAAAGTCACGGGTAGCCACATCCCGCCACAGAGACACAAGCAAAAACACACTCAGAATGGTCCAGCCATTCGGCATCACAGGGCCGGAACACGCCCCGTCCTGCCCCAGACTCACAGGCCCCCTCACCTTTACCCCGCACTTCTTGGTCCTGATCCTTGAGAAGCTAAGGCTCTCGCCCCGACGCTAACACGACGTCAGGACGCGGTGGACTCTGGGAAACGTAGTTCAGCGCCACACCAGCCGCGATCAAGATGGCGCGTCTTGTAAGTCTGGGCTAGGCCCGTTCGGAGACTGCGCAGGAGCTATCAGAGGACGATCACTCTAGACATCCCTATACAGATTATTTAATCCCAAGGAAGGACATTTGCCTCAACAATTGCAAATTCATGGGGGGAGACGGACATATTTGGAGGGGAGGGGAGGTAGGGGGAAATAAAGAGACTACAGATCCGCGATGCCTTACGGGAAATGTAGTCCCATCCAGCGGCGGCAAAGGCTAGGGGCGGGGAACGGCGTTGTTAGTCACAGAACGATTGGGCCTGGCCTACGTGAAGGAGCCCAGCCGCGTCGCGGTGGCTTCTGGGAGTGCTCTCTCGCCTTCAGCAGTGCGCAGGCGCAGCGCACCGGGAGTGGACATTTTGGTCTTTGTCCGCGGGTCAGTACGGCCTCTGGGTCCACGTGGCGCGAAAGTAGGAGGTGGGATCTGGGCGTTTTGGGTCGGTCGGGTCCGGGAGGTTGAAGGGAGGGTTCCCGGTCGCTCCGCGGCGCGGCGCGGGATCGAGGAACAAGGGTTAAGCGATGGTGGCCTTCGGGGAGGAGGCGGGACGGGGGAGGGGGAGGGCGGGGCGATGGTGGCCTTCGGGGAGGAGGCGGGACGGGGGAGGGGGAGGGCGGGTTCTGAGCTCGGGTGACCCTGGGTTTGACCGCCAAGTTTGACCTGTCAACGGGGAACGGAGGAGTTCAGGGTGCGGCCGCCAGCAGTCGGTGAGGAGGAGCCGCGGACTCGGGCGGCGTCGAGGTTTAAAGTCTCAGCCTCACTTCCGTGATCGGAAGTGCGGATAATGGGGAGGGGGCCATCTTTCAGGGAGCATCCGCTGGCCTGGGAGCTTGAAAAGGGTCGGAAGAGACGGAGTCAGTCACTCCCAGGAGATAGGAACTAATGATTTTTAAGATTTGTGCCAGTTTAGGGGCTGGTACTGAGCGTCTAGTTGGTGTCCTTGAGCTCCCCTCCCCGACCCCCAGTACTAATGCTGTAACACTTGAGTCAAAGCCCCACTTGTAGCTTTTTATTGGCTAATTGGAGATAAGAATCTCACGGACTTTCATGCACAAGTTGACTTCGAACCTGGATCCTCAGATCTTGGCTACCTGAGTAGCTGGGATGACAGGCGTGAGCCACCGGTGCCCTACTCGAGTTTTATTAATAGTAAATTTGGTGCGTGATGGTGGAGGGTTTCCATGTGATTTTTTTCATTAATGGTTACGTTTGTACGTGAGAAAAGTGCACTGTTATGACGAAATGTTTATCTTTAAAACGTTGAAAAATAGGCTGGGAATGTATTTTAGTTGCTTGGCATGCATGATACCCTGGGTTCAATTCCTCAGTACCATATAAACAGAAAGAGCCAGAAGTGGTGCTATAGGGCAAGTGGTAGAGTGCTAGCCTTGAGCAAAAAAAGCACAGGGACAGTGCCCAGGTCCTGAGTTCAAGCCCCAGGACTAGACGCCCCCCACAAAAAAAAAGTTGGAAAAATGTTTTTAAAACAGTTGTACACAAAAAAAAAACTGCACTTATTTATTTAGTTTGCTGGTCCTGAGCTTGAACTCAGGGCCTTGGCTCTGTCCCTGAGCCTCTCTGTCCTCAAAGCTAGCACTCTACCACTTACTTGAGCCATAGCGCCACTTCTGGCTTTTTCTGTTTATGTGGTACCCAGGGCTTCATGCATGCTAGGTAAGCACTTTAACACTAAGCCTCATTCCCAGCCCAAACACATTTATTTTTGAGGTAAAATATATGTTACCTCTTTTATTTAAACTAGAGTAACTGATAGGAATTTTTTTGTTATGCAGTGCTTACTTCAGACTCAAATTTTTGATCTTCAAACTACTAAGTCCTCAGATGTCAGCTTCTGAAGTGGCTATGATTGATTACAGGCATGGGCCAGTAATGCCCAGCTCTAACTTCTTAATGAGTCCCAAGTTTTCTTAGATTGTGTGAGTTTTCTTACATAAGAAGAAAATTACTTCATTCACCTCTCAGACCCCTTTCACATACCTTTAAGGATTAAATGATAATTGGGTACCAGATTAAGATATGCAATTCAATAGCCTTTGACTTTATCAACAGCCAATTTAGGCGATACAGTTGAAGAAAACTAGTTCTTACAATAACAATACATTGATGAAAGCTAGGCACAAGTGGCTCACACCTGTAATCTTAGCTACCCAGGGGGCTGAGATGCAGGATCCTCAGTGGCATAAGCCACTGGTGCCCAGCTCTCTGAGCTTTTTTGTTCAAGGACAGCACTCTACCACTTGGTTCACACCTCCACTTCCATTTTCTTTTTTTGGGGGGGTGGGTGGGTCCGGTCGTGGGGCCTGAACTCTGGGCCTGGGCTGTCCCTCAGCTCTTCAGCTCAAGGCTAGCGCTCTACCACTTGAGCCACAGCGCCACTTCCGGCTTTTTTCTTTTTTGCTTATGTGGTGCTGAGGAAT